ACTGGTGAAAGCCTTAGATCAATTGGAAAACAGTTTCAACAGAAAATATTGTTACCAAGGTCAGCAAATAAAAATGTCAAAGGAAATTAATACCAGATGACGTGATTTGTAACAGATGCAGATAGAGAGTGCTTTCCTCATGCGCTTTATGATAACACAGGAAATCTAAGTAAATAACAATCCTTGCATTTGATATAGAGCCTTATCACATCGTCGAGACGTCTCAAACTGCTTCACAGGATGTAAAGTCGACTTCAAGATCCTCACACTCGTGTTCAAATCCCTTCACTCTCTGGCACCTCCCTACTTCTCCGACCTCTTCATTCCCCAATCCACTACCTGGCGCCTCCGCTTGACTGACACCGACCGGCCTCCTGCTCATCCCTCACACCCACCTCACCATCGGAGGTCAGGCTTTCAGCCACTACACGCCAAAACTCTGGAACACTCTCCCTCAATCCCTCCACCTTGCCCCCTCTCTCCCCTTTTTCAAGTCCCACCTCAAGACGTTCCTGTCGACCGTGCGCCACTGTTAAGCGCTCTGAGACACTAGCCTGTGTGGAGGGCGCTATATAAGTGCAAGTTGTTGTTGTTGTAAAGTAGTTTATGTATTTTGTGGGCGAAACGCAGTAGCCAATTGCATATAGCAATGTCCCACAAATAGCCGTGGGGTGAATGACCGATTTTATTTTGGGAGATTGGTGGGCAGGATATTAGGAGAAACTCCCTTCTCTCTTCAAATAGTGCTATGGGATCTATAACGAACACCTGAATAGGAAGATGGAGCCTTAGTTTAACACCTCATCCAAAGAATAAAACAAATAGCAATTCAGCTTTCCCCCCAGCGCTCCACTGGAGTGTCAGCCAAGACTGTGCGTTCAAAGTGTTGACATGGGGTTTAAATCTGCAAGACTGCTTTGCTCTCATATCCGCGCCACAACTGGCACCACCTTCCATCACCTCTAGAATATCGCCAGACTACGGCACTACCTCACCCCTCACGCGGCTGAAACTCTGGTCCACGCCTTTATCACCTCAAGGCTGGACTATGGGAACTCTCTCCTCGCCGGCCTTCCCGGCCCTCCCTCCACACTGCAGGTCATTCAGAACTCTGCAGCTCGTGTAGTGTCCCGCACCAGACACCGCGATCACATCACTCCCACCCTCGCCCTCGCCCTCACCCTCACTCCCGCCCTCGCTCGCCTCCACTGGCTCCCCATCCCCCAGAGGATCGAATTCAAGATCCTCATCCTCACCTACAAGGCCATTCACGGCCTCGCTCCCTCCTACCTCTCCGACCTACTATCCCCCTACCTACCTGCCCGTACCCTCCGTTCCTCTGGCTCTGGTCTGCTCCACATCCCCCGCCCCAACCGCCCTACCATCGGTGGCCGGGCCTTCAGCCTCTAAGACCCGAGGCTCTGGAACTCTATCCCCCAGTGCCTTCGCCGCTTCCTCCCTTTCCTCCTTCAAGGCCGGTCTCAAGACCTTTCTCTTTGACCGTGCCTTCAGCTCCCCTCTCGACTCTCTACCCCCTCCTCGCTCCCTCCCTTCCCTCCCCTCACCCTGACCATTTCCCCCTTGCTCGGGTCCTGACCCAACTGTACAGCGCCTTGGGATGTACTCCCGACGTGAAAGGCGCTCTATAAATGGAATCTTGTTGTTGTTGTTGTTGCTCTGAAACAAAAACAGAAGTCGCTGGGAAAACTCAGCAGGTCAGGCAGCATCTATAGAGAAAGGAAATGTTCCGGGTCCATAACTCTTTGACCCTGACGAAGGGTCGTGGACTAGAAACGTTGACTCACTTTCCTTTCTCCATAGATGCTGCCTGACCGGCTCAGAGTTCCCAGAGACTTCTGTTTTTGTTTCAGAATTCCAGCATCTGCAGTATTTTGGGTTTTGCTTTGCTTTGACTCTAACCCACCACAGACAAAGGAGGATATTATCTATTTATAGTACAATGTGAACAAACTGAAAAAATATACCCTGGAAATTCTAGCAATGAGTCACGAATGTAATTCCGTGATAAAGAAATATCTCAGAATGTTGTAAAACATAAGGAGTTGAAGAGCATTTGATTATAGTTCACAATCTATTGTACTAACGGTGGAAACCTGTAGCTTAGTGGTTAGAGCATTCGCCTCGCAAGCGAGAGGACCTGGGTTCGATTCCCAGGCAGGGTGCTACCTTAAGGCAAGTTTCCTTACTCCACGCGCCTCTATTTACCTAACATTAAGCAGTTAGTTAATCGATCAGCGGAACGCTTTTCCGGGTGCAATAATACCTTAAAAAAAAATTGGTCACTCAATCCACGAATGTTGGTGGGACACTGTGGTGTGCAATTGGCTGCTGTATTTCATCCACAAAATATACACTTTACAATACATCCTGTGAAGCGCTTTGAGACGCCCCGACTTGATAAGGTGCTATATCAAATGCAAGGATTATTATTATTATCGGAGAGCTAGGATATTGGGCTGAATTCTGCGCTGTAAAAATTATAGAACATTAATCAGCCTTGGAAAATACATCATTGAACTTAGTTCATTGCACTTAGTCAAAGATCGTGGTAAGGGAATACTGGGTCCTGATGACTCACAGAAACCTGTAATTTGGTTATATGAATAGAGAAAATTGGTACTGTACTCCTTACAAAGTCCATTGTGATACAGATCTATATTCTGTAATGTAGAATTATATTCCAAGTCAGGCTTGTTCTGCAGGGCTGCTCATGGCTCTGATTAAATGTTGCCTCGTTCTATGGCTCCATCTCATCCCACAAACCACAGAGAATTACTGCTGCAGGGACTAAAGCATCGTGGATGTTCAAACCTAGTAAAGTGGCCTGTGCCAGGGCAGTAGGGTGGAGGACTTTACGCGGCAAGCAAGGTAAGTAGTTGTTGGTTAGTGAATGGAAGTATAACAGGCAAGCTTCCTTGCTCCACACTCCTCTGTTTACCCAGCAGTAAGTAGGAACACGGTTGTTAGTCGATTGGTGGATCACTTTTCCGGGGCTAATAATCCCTTCAATTTTTTTTTAAAAAGAATAATAATTTTGTCACTCATTCCACGACTCTTTGTGAGACGCTACTGAACGCAATTGGCTGCTGCATTTCGCACACAAAATATACAGTCAATTCACTTTACAATATATTCTGTGAAGTGGTTTCGGATATCTCAAAGACGTGATAAGGTGCTATATCAAATGCAAGGATTATTATTATTATTACTTTGTGAATGAGTGTGTGTCGCCTGTTTATCTTCATGGGCTTTTCCGCATATCTCTGCCTCACTTTCTCTCTCTGCTCCCTCTATTTCTAATGGTTGGAGAATATTATAAAGGGCTTTCCGTGCACTATGTATATAACATCCAATATGTCAACTAGTGATGATGAGCATTAGATGTGAGTGTAGGCAGTGCCGGTACAGAAAGCTCAGAGTATTGGGATATACAAGGTATGAATTTATTAAATTATGCATTGGTGTTTTAATATGTTTGACATTTACAATACAAAGATAATAGATTATTTCCTAACGATATTATCAACCCAAATAATATGCCTTGCATTTGACACAGAGCCTTTCACGTCAGGAGGAAGTCTCGAAGCGCTTCATAGGATTTTACTGTAAAGTATAGTGACTGTATTTTGTAGAATAACACAATAATCTGCATTGCCGGAAGTGCTGTCCTTCGGATGAAACCTTAAACCTGTCTGTCTGTGGTCGTTTAAAGATCACATGATGTTGTTTGGAATTGAACTTCTCCCCATGTTCTGGACAACAATTCCCCAAATATAATTGGTCACTCACTTCATGGCTGTTTGTGAGACACTGCTGTGTGCAAATGAGCTGCCGTGTTCGCTTATAAAATACACAAAATTCACTTTCACTGGATTTTACTGTAAGTGCTTTGAGGTGTCTTCCTGATGGGAACGGCATTGTATCAGTTACGACAATTACTATTATTATTATGATCAGAGCAATAGACAGACTCGGTGGCAAAGAAGGTTTAAGTTACAGTAGCAAGCTAATGCTTCGGGGTGAACTGGCATGTCCTGACTGAAGAGATAGTTCAGCAGTTGATGTACATTTCAGTTATTTTGTCTAGATTATTAAATTGCTGGGTCTCTGTTCATCTGATTCGCTGTAATGTTGCCAAGCTCATTAGCAGGGTTCCTCATCACTGATCTGGCAGCTCGTTGCTAGTCAATGTGGCACATTGTCAAGCGCAGAAAGAGAATCCTTGTTATTTTTTTCCCGTTGGTTCCCTCGCCCAGGTCATTGTTGAAGTGCGTTGGATAAACAAGGGCCTTTTTTTTGTCATGAATAAATGGTGTTTCTGTGGACAGCAGATGACAGCTTCAATGGATGGCCCCTCACGCTACTCTAGCCTCTCCCCACTCCTGGAGAGTATGGCACGAGGACAGGCGATGCGATAATCTGCCTGGCGATCACTGACCGTGTCACCCGACTGCATATTTTACAGATCAGTGTAACAAAAGGGATTTCAAGACAAGAGAATTGCAGTGATATTACACCCTCTGCTGGTTGTCACTTTCTAACACTTACCCTATTCTTTTTGACGTTCGACTGAAAGAAGATCAATTATTCCATAAAAATAATAATCCGTGCATCTGATGTGGCGCCTTTGCCCGTTGACAGGACGTCTCAAAGCGCTTCACAGGTTATGCTGCAAGGTGGAGTGACTGTGCATTATGTAGGCCAGCGTGGCAGCCGATTTCTGCACAGCAGTCGAGTGTGGATTGCTTTCCTAGGATTATAATCCCACCCCTACAAAAGAATTTGATCACTTCAAGTTTGTGGGACGCTGCTCTGTGCAGTTGACTCCCACGTTTCGCCCACAAAATACACAGTCAATTCACTTTATAGCATATTCCATGTCCTTTCGCTTGCAAGGTGAGCTCGCTAACCACTTCGCTAGGGGACTCCACTCGTGTTTATTCAGACAATGAGTCTGTCTTTCTTTGCAATGCACACAGGCCCGTTGCTGATTTTTATGGAGCGAAGCTGATCGAAAGGACATTATTTGGGGAGGAAAAGCACTGCTGCTGCTGTGCTTTCTCATCACTGAGCGCTCGAACCAACAGCCAACATTAATCATGTACACCAGCATCTTGTCTGCATGCTTTGCATTCCATCTCCTTCTTCTGGGACAAAGTGGAGGTAAGGATTCAATTTCAGAAAGGAAGGAGACACGCAGGCACCATCGCTGCTAAAGACAGTCACAAGAAGAGTTAATGGAGAGCTTAGGACAGAATTGGTTTCACTGAACAGCTTGCTCTAAGAGCTGATGCAGACTAAAAAACCTGAATGGCCTCCTTCTGTGCTGTATATTTTTATGATTCTAAATATGCCTAGATTTTCCATCCTAGTTTGCTATTTTGACCCATCAGCATATGCTCTGACTCACAACTCCTCGATACTAATTTATAGCAGGTCTTGTGAGGATCCAGACTGTTATAGCACTTCAGCTCTGCATAGCATACAACCAAGGATATTTACAGCACAGAAGGAGGTCATTTGGCCCACTGTGACCATGCTGGCTTTCTGATAAAGATGTCCTTTTTTGCCCTGTACTCCTCTTCAGATTTTTCTTGGGATTTTCTGTTAAAAGACGAATGCATTGTCTGCAGTTATAACTTGTTTACCTCAAGTAGGAACTCGGTTGTTAGTCGATTGGCGGATCGCTTTCTGGCGGTAATAATCCCTTCAAATAAATAAATGAATGATAATAATTTGGTGACTCCATCCACGACTGTTTGCGGGACACTGCTGAGTGGAATTGGCTGCCAGGTTTTGGCTACAAAATATACGGTCAATTCGCTTTACGGTGTATCCTGTGAAGCGCTTTGAGACGACTCAACTATTAATTCTGCCTCAACCAAGACTCCAGGTTGGGTGAACCACGCCCAAACTACCCTCTGTGCTATTTTTTTTCTTAACTTCTTTTTTGCCAATGACCTTAAACTACCAGTGGAAATAATTTCTCCCGTTTAAGGTTACCAAAGCCCCTTAGTAGTTTTTCTATCAAGTTCCTTCAAAACCTTCTTCGTTCTAGGAAAATTATAATCCATGATATATTATATCTTAGTAACGGGTGGATTAAGGGGCAAGAGAAAGTTGACTCAAAGGAGATGGAGGTCCAGAAAGCAGGGGGGGCAGAAAGCTTGCCCACCGACAGTTGGGTGGATCGGGCAAGTAATATGACGCACGCTAGAAGTGATGACGGGTAGGGGCAAGAAGTGAAGTCATCTGCAACCTGATGACCTGGAAGTGGGCCATTTATTCACACCTCACGTGTAATGCACCCGCTGGATGACTGGTCTGAGCTGTAATCAGGCTTCCCTCCAGAAACAAGTCCTTTCTCCAGTCAGCAACGGAGAGGAGCTGACAAGTGATACGGCTACTCTTTAGATGGGGGGGTGCGGGGAGAAGGATGCTCCAGGCTCAGGCACAGAGATGGTATTTTGATACAAACAGGCCCGTTGTTTGGACGGCACTGTAGGCCTTTGTGTGTGGTGTGGTGTGGCTCACAGCAAAGAACAAACCACCTGCCTCTGGGCTAAAGTAATCGTTCCCCATTGGAGCTCAAAAGTCCCTGAGGTGGGATTTGATCACACAACCTTCTGACTCAGAGGCACGAGTGCTACTAACTGAGTCAGGCTGACAGCACATCAGGGTGTCTCACTCACATTTGTGAACCTAAAATACACCCCAATAATCACGGTTTTCTCATCAACAACAACAGCATTACATTTGTATAGCGGCCTTCATGTTGGAAGGATGTCCGAAGATGCTGAACAGACAGATTTATGGACCCGAGCTGGGGGTCGGGATCAGGGAGGATGGCGGGAAGGGAGATCGAAAGCACGGTCGAAGAGGAGGGTCTTGAGATGGGTCTTGAAGGTGGCGAGGGAGGGGGCGAGGGAGAGGGACTGCGGGATGGAGTTCTCATTATTATTCATTTGGTCATTGCTGTTGCTGTTGTACTGTGCATGGACCCTGTCTGCCCTGGGCCGACCATTAAACCCTGAATCCACAAATACAAACACAGACCCTCATTTAAGATGCCTGGACAATGCATGTCGTTGTTTCCGATCTCCTGCAGGTGCCACTCACACACAATGGCCCCCGAGAGAGCATACGTTCGCTTGATGGAAAAAACGATAGCGTTTAGGACGCTGTGCCAAACACCTCGTCAATGACATCAGATAGATTCCTTTTCTTGCTTTTTCTTGCAAATCAAAGGAAAATTCACAGAACTTTTCATGAAGACAGACTCTCTTTAAGATTCTAATATGATGATTATAATCCTTGCATTTGATATAGTGCCTTATCACATCTTCGAGACGTCTCAAAGCGCTTTACGGAATAGACTGTATATTTTGAGGGCGAGACGTGGCAGTCGATTGCACACAGCAGCGTCGTGCAAACAGTGGTGGATTGGGGGTGTTCGTAATAAATGACAATAATAATGATTCTTCTATTTGATATAGTGCTTTATCAAGTCATTGAGATGGGCAAAACTCGGCGGGCAATTGCACGCAGCAGTGTCCCAAACCCATTCGTGGATTGAGTGACCGATTTATTATTTTTTTAAGGGATTCTTATCCCTGGAAAGCAATCTGCCAATGGACTAACAACCGGGTTCCTACTTACTGCTAGGTAAATGGAGGCATGTGGGGTAAGGAAACTTGCCTTAGGTTTCTCCCCTTTAAGATTAAGTTCATTTAAGTTAAGATATCTGTTAAGATATTCAACAGCAAAGAGGACACTTGGTGTATGGGAGACTTGGCAGATTGGTTAAACCTTCCTGGTATTTCCTCTGCAGTTATATTGGAAGATTTAGTTGGAGATCTTCCCTTAGCGAAGTGCCTGAGGAGAGACTGGGACGGGAAGCAGCTTGAAGGCAGGAACCCAGGGTGCGGCTGAGACCCCACGATTAATTTCCGGGGTAACAAATGTAACTAAAAGGCTTGGCTGCCAAGCTGTCTCGAGTGTTCATGTGAAGAGGTGTGCTCTTCGTGGAGTGAGGCAGTGCAGGTGGAACTGGGTCACAGTGCAGAAAGCAGCCCACGCCAACCATCATTTACTCCTTTCTGTTAACAAACGACTATCACATTTGATAGGAATGTGAGTCCCACCTTCCAGCTGGCCCTGAAACGAACATAGTTTGGCTGATTGGTGTTGCTTTTGGAGGCTGTAGCTTGGCCGGGAAGCCTTAACACTCACAGTTTTATTCCTGTTTCTGTCCGGAGGTGTCAGTAGCGCTCTGATCTCTGTGTCAGAAGGGTTTGTGGGTTCAAGTCCCACATTGGGTGTTTTGCCCACAAAACATAGTCAATTCACTTTACAATATATTCTGTGAAGTGCTTTGAGATGTCTAGAAGACTATATCAGGCACTATATCAAATGTAAGAATTAATATTATTATTCTTCAGAGGTCGCAAGCTTTATCTTCCAACATTGTAGTCCTGTAGCTCAGTGGTTAGAGCACTCGCCTCGCAAGTGAGAGACCTGGGTTCGATTCCCGGCAGGGTGAAACCTTGGGCAAGTTTCCTTACTCCACACGCCGGATAATAATCCCTCAAGGTAAAAAAACTATAATAAATTGGTCACTTCAATCCACGACTGTTTGTGGGACGCTGCTGTGCGCAATTGGCTGTGGTGTTTCACCCACAAATATACAGTCAATTCACTTTACAGTATATTCTGTGAAACGCTTTGAGACATCGAGAAGATGTGAAAAGCACTATATCAAATGCAAGGATTATTATTATTATCTTCAGATCAGCTGTTAAACTAAGGTCCTCAGGTGGATGTTAAAGATCTCACTATTCCTTTGAAGAGAATATTCCAGATACAATTCCAGAAGATAAGGGAGTCTCGTTTCACCCACAGACAATCCTCCAGATATAATTGATTCATTCACTTCATGGCTGTTTGTGGCACATTGCTGTGCGCAAATTGGCTTTACAATATACTCAGTGAATGCACTTTATGGTAAATCCTGTGAAGTGTTTTGAGACGTTCCTTTCATTGAGAAAGGTGCTGTATTAAATGCAAAGATAAAAAGTTAGGCTTTTTCTTATCATTAACGCTGATGCACGATTGAGACAAAATTAAAAATCAAAGCAGCGCTTGGAAAAGTGTCAGCGCTTTCACGCTGTGAGTTTCGGCACACTGTGCGACACAGGAAATTAGCTCAACAAACTTTCTATAATAGCTGGAAAGGTCTCCTTAACTATGAAACCACCGCATCGAAACTCTGAACAAGAGCATAAGAATTTGCGAGGTGAAAGAAGACCAAGGTCACCTTACACCTTCCTGGCAGTCGTTTGCACATGTCAAGTCTCAAACTATATACTGTACCCAAAGATATTATTTCCTAACAGAAATCGATCAAATTTATTTTTGAAAGAATTGACACTTTCTGCTTCCACCGACTCCCTGGGGAGCCTGTTCCTTACGTTTACTACTTGCTCACTGAAGTAGCGTTTCTGCAGATTTATCTGAATTTGCCCTCACCCCCCCACCCTTTTCAATCGTGGGCTGTTCAGTATAAAACAGTTTATCGTAGCCTACATTATCTAGTACAAATATATCTTCGTCGCAGAGGTTGGGGAATAAATTCTCTCAGGACAGGTCTAATATCGCATTCGATTGTAGCAGTGCCCCAATGACATCCGAACAGCTGGATAATTCTCTTTTATTGGAATTCACAAGAAATGGCTCTCTTGTGGGATCCCTTTGGGACATGGTGGTAGCTGTCAGCAGTGAATATGATCCTGGCATCGCAAGATCACTATGGTACTGCCTCTCATCTTAAACATAACACCTCTTGCTGTTATTGAAGCCTCTGTGGATGGTGTGATTGCATTGTCTGCAGTTACAATCTGCTGATCTAAAAATCCATGTCTTGCTTGCTCTGCTCTCTAAGCTTGCCATTTCTCTGTCTCAGACCACAGTGCATATGATGAAAGGTTGGGGGGGGGAGTGAAAGGATGAAATCTCATCTCAATGTTTAGCTAATACCTGTAAACCGACTCCGTTGCGAAGTCCTGGTCTATAACTCTTTGAACTCCTCTTACTGAATGACAGATTTATTGCTCACTTCAGCTATCTGCATAGTGGTGGATTGCACTGTGCATTCTAATCTGATG